TATGTTGCTCAATGATTGAATGTTACATTGCAAAAGAAAAACAAAAAAAAAATACAAAATTGAGTACTGAAAAACTGAGTAAAGATTTCTAATTCTTAGATCAGTACGGACCTACTATGATGTAAATACGCAATAACATTTTATAATTGAACTTTAAATAAAATTGATGCACAGTATGGGATATCCTTATGTTTTCTTATATATTCCTCTTTTTAACAACTTCGAGCTACGGTTTTCTGAAATACATTTTTTTTTTTCTTTTCTTTAATTTTGTTTACATTCAATGATGCAATATCGATTTACGCGTGTTTTAGCCGAAAGTACACGATTTTCGAACGATACGAGAGATCGAGATTCAAGTTTGACAAAATGTCCGAAAATTGAAGGATGTTAAAGCGAAGGATATTTAATTAACTAGAGATACGATATTGTTTGTCGGTTATGCACTGTCGTCCTTAGCATCGAGTCCTTAAGCTAATTCGAGGCTGGGATTGGTGAGTTTAATTAAAGTTGTGAATGTATATCAATGAGAAGAGGAAGCGAAACAAATTGCAACACATTCGCAACATCGTCTAGAATTCATTTAACTTAGTTAGCATTGTTTATTTTAAACGATGATTGTGTCGATGTAATTTTATTGTGGATCGATTAAATTCGAATTACTGTTCGAAAAGATATAGAAAATATCATCGTCGAGGTTATCTTACGCTTTTGGCCACATTTTCATTGAATGTAAGTAATTAATATATGTAAATTTAAACGAATCGGCTGTTAGTGTATGATAACATTTATTTTTCCTGAGTTCGAGAATTACCTAAAATATAATTATAATAATTATCATCGTCTATCGAAAGGTTCTTTGATGTCATATAAGAATAATTCGGTTCAAATTTTTGAGCAATGATTACTGTTTAAATGTTTTGTTTACATTTAGCAACAACCATTTCAGGGCACGGCGAACTCTCTGAATTCAAGTTGAAACTGTTTTTGTTTCCTCAATGAAACCCGTTCTGTCATGTCTTACACTGAATTGGAACATGGTTATCAGGTAAACAGAGAGATTCCTCCTTTTTGTGAAATACCTAATGTTACTTTTAATAATTTAGTCATTGGTTCTTTGTCAATTCCAAAATAGATTTTTTCATAGAAGAAATTTAATATAAGGTTTCTTTTATTTAATTCTCAATTTTACATAGTAATCAATATGATAATCTTGTTAAAGAATCTATGTTATTAAGTTCTTTATACTAATCAAATACAAAAAACATGAACTTTCAACTGATAATAACTAATCAATAGGGTCTACGGAGTGCCAGTCGACCAATTTTCTATGTAGGGGACTTAAGTTCTGTACAACCAACCCTCGTGGGTCCTGTTGCTTCTTCTCTATATCGTTCATCAAAAAGAGTAAGTTTTGTTCTTCCCACAATATGTAATGAACAAGTAAATACTAAAATGATAGTCTTAAATTTAATATTTTTGCTAGTAAATCGTAAGTTTATCAATAATATAAAATACAAATTTATATTTTAATTTTCACTTGTATCTTAATTTGTTTATATACTATCGAAATTTTTTGATTGAAACTTGAGCTAATTGCTGCAAATGATATGATTGAGCTAGATAATGAAAAAAATAAAATATGAAAATAAATAACAAGTATTGCGATGAAAAAAGTACATTATATGTGCATGTACCAACTTTAGTCTATTTTAAATTAGTAAACATTATATGACCAAGGTTAGGAAACTATTTTATTTAACAAAATTATTGTTTTATACAATATTATACAGTACCTGTATTTGTCATATATATTTCTTTCTTTTTGTGACACATACTTGAAATGAAAATTATGATTTTCCATGATTTTGTTTATTTCTAATAATGTATTTCACTAAGTGTAAATTAATGAATTCATGATTTCATTATCAGTGCTACAAACTACTTTTAAATAACTTGATGACTCATGAAGACTTTAATACTGTAGTAGTCTAAAAATAAATAGCTATGAAATTTGTTAAATGCATTTTGCTTGACTGTGTAGTTGCATATGTAACATATAAATTTTATGTTATATTATGTGTTAATGATCAATATATCAGTTTAATTAATTAATGTTTAATGATTATAAATCTGAATTAGACATATCGTGAAAAGATCAATTGTTGAAGTGAAATTATTTTAAAAAATATTAATATTAATGATATCAAGCCATTAATATTAAGGCTATCATTGTACATAATTATGCAATTAGTTTATGGTATTTTGAAATTAAATTCGTAATGGAAAATGCAAATTCTTTATCATCTACCATAATTTCTGATGTTTATATCTTTGATTGTGATAATGAAGCAGAACCATATTGGCAAATGATGGTAGAGTTTCTTACTATTAAATTTTTAATTGTGGCCTATTAGTAGATTCATAACATTTAATGCAAAAGATTTAATGCAAAAAATCATTTCTATTTATTTAAATGTATATACATCATATGTATATACAATCATTATAACACTTACTTTTTATACAGGAAAAGCTTCCTTGTTTCAAGATAAACTATATAAATCATATTTTTTCTAGAGATATAGTTCTTTCTTATCTTTAAACAAAGAGTACTTTATTAGTCTGCTTTTATTTAATTTCAGTTCAGTACATAATCTGAGTAGTTAGAAGCTTCTATTCACAATGTTCATGATATTTTTAATAAGTGAAATATAAATATTTTATATTTTATTGTTAAAATACTTTTTAATTAATTACTTGTTTTGGATTTAAAATTTATTTTGGATTTAAAATTTGGAGTATAATATAAATCTAGAATTTAATTTAAAAAGTATAAAAAATTAAATTTATTATTTAAATAATAATAATACTGTGAGTGTATATTTCCAAAGTGAGAAAACTACTGTTGTATAAAAGGGACATAGTTAAAAGATTACTGGCTTCTAGAAAAATGGTACTATTGTAATAGTAAAAGTAATTTTCTATTTGTTTTTAATATTGAAGACAAATCTGGATATGGAGTGCTACTGTGATGATTGTATTGTATGTAATATGTACTTTTTTTAACACATTATAAAGCTGTTGGCAATTCTAAAAATATCATTGAATGTAATTTTTTATTGTTAATAGTTAAAGTTATTAAAAAATATAAAATGACAAACAATATAACATGACAGATAACTTTTTTTTAATTTTTTTTATCACTCAGACATGTAATACTTTTTATAAAAATAATGTATTTAGTATTGGATTTATATTTTCTTTTTTATGTAAGCAAATAATGCATGTGGTTCGTCTTTTTTACATTTAATTGTAATCATCTAGGAATGAATAATGAATCGAAATTGTATGAAAACTATTCTAAACAATCTCTTGATAGACTTGGCTTTTTGTCCAGTTTAAAAATGTACTGGGTGAGCAATATTTAACACAATTATTAATGAACATTTTATTAATTTCTTGCACCACATAAGTGAAAATTTCACACACTTTTAGAATTTTGTTTTTCTTACTATTACTAGCTTTTTTTTCATATGATATAAGGTGGGTATATAAAATGGCAATATATCACAGACTCTTCATAATTGAATTTTCGTTTAGGCCGAACTGTCGGACGGGTGTAGCAATGATGATGGATGCATGGGTGGAAGTGATTTGGAAGGAGAAGGGAAGCAAGTTTTGGTTGGAATCTGTGCGATGGCAAAAAAATCGCAAAGTAAACCAATGAAAGAGATTTTAACAAGATTAGAAGAATTTGAATATATTAAGATTGTAGTATTTCCTGAAGAAGTTATTTTGAAGGTAATTTTACTAGAAGATAAAAAATTTTTTAATTCTAGAGTATGAATTCTAAAGTATATATATTTACAGGAGTCTGTAGAAGATTGGCCAGTTGTTGATTGTTTAATAAGTTTCCATAGTAAAGGCTTCCCCCTTGATAAAGCAATAAATTATGCTAATCTTAGGAATCCTTTTATCATCAATAACTTACCAATGCAATATGACATTCAGGTATGTAATTTGTAATAAATGTTTTATCAAATATAATTTTTTTTATATGACATCAATGTGTTTAATAGGATCGTAGAAGAGTATATGCTATCTTAGAGAGTGAAGGTATTGAAATCCCAAGATATGCTGTCCTGGATAGAGATTCATCTGATCCAAAACGTACACAACGTTCATTATTTATATTCATTCAATTTTATGTTGGAGATTTATGACAAAAAATTCATTTCAGATCACGAATTGGTGGAATCAGAAGATCATGTGGAAGTCAATGGTGTTACATTTAATAAACCATTCGTGGAGAAACCTGTATCTGCAGAAGATCATAATATTTATATTTATTATCCTACATCTGCAGGCGGAGGCAGCCAAAGATTATTTAGGAAGGTACGCAGTAAATTGAATGAAGCTAAATTTTTTTCATTCTGAATCGTTAAATTTCTATTTATAATATTACAGATTGGAAGTCGTAGTAGCGTATATTCACCAGAATCTCGAGTTCGTAAGACTGGTTCTTACATCTACGAAGATTTTATGCCAACAGATGGTACAGATGTTAAGGTTTATACCGTGGGCCCAGATTATGCTCACGCAGAAGCAAGAAAAAGCCCTGCACTGGATGGTAAAGTCGAAAGAGACTCGGAGGGAAAAGAAATTCGCTATCCGGTTATACTAAGTAACGCTGAGAAGTTAATTAGTAGAAAAGTCTGCTTAGCTTTCAAACAAACAGTTTGCGGTTTTGATTTACTTAGGTATTGATTTACTTGAAATTTGAAATTTGAAGTGAAAGAAGTAATAATTTTTTACCATACTGATTTATCGTAATATTTCAGGGCAAATGGCCAGTCATTTGTGTGCGATGTAAATGGTTTTAGCTTTGTAAAGAATTCTAATAAATATTATGATGATTGTGCGAAGATTTTGGGAAATATGATTTTAAGGGAATTGGCACCTACTTTGCACATACCATGGAGCGTTC